TGAACCCTGCCATGGGCCCCCGTGTCCCCCATAGTGAGTATGGTCCACAGGGAAGGTTAGGATACTTAAAACACCATGGCCCTGGACTTGCTCCCTGCCCTCAGGTTCTCACCTGGATTCTGTAGCAACTTCATAGCTCCTGGCTGCAGGAGGCGGTAGATTAGAAAGGTTGGCACCCCTTAGACTGCAAGGGAACACTGGCAGCCTCGCTGCCAGCCAGAACCGCAGACTCCAAGTGTGAAACATGCCTCTCTCTGAGGGTCCCAGCCTGGCACCCCCACACCTTTCCACCCATTCTCCCCTCTGCCCCACCCACCCCACAGCTGGGAGGCCGGTGAGTGGACGTCTTGCAGCCGATCCTGCGGCCCCGGCACCCAGCACCGTCAGCTGCTCTGCAGACAGGAATTTGGAGGCGGTGGCTCCTCGGTGCCCCCAGAGCGCTGTGGACACCTCCCCCGGCCCAACATCACTCAGCCTTGTCAACTGCACCTCTGTGGCCACTGGGAGATCAGCTCCCCCTGGAGCCAGGTGAGTGCGTGGGGAGGCGGGGGACCTTGAGAAGTGGGCTCCAAAGAGCTAGGGCGGTGGGGTGTTTGTTTGTTTGTCTGTTTTTACCATTTTATTTGTCATCAGAAACTTTACAAACAGGACCTATGTGGAACCCCAATATTAGCCAGCTAGATGCACCAGGACGGGTTCTGTAGGAGGGCTGGAGGATGGTGGCCGATGCCCGGCCTGGGCTTTCTCACCCTTCAGTGCTCTGTGCGTTGTGGCCGAGGTCAGAGGAGCCGGCAAGTTCGGTGTGTTGGGAACAACGGTGACGAAGTGAGCAGGCAGGAGTGTGCTTCAGGGCCGCCCCCACCCCCCAGCAGAGAGGCCTGTGACATGGGACCCTGTACCACAGCCTGGTTCCACAGCGACTGGAGTTCCAAGGTGGGTCCCCGCACGTCTTTGGACACGTCAGGCTTCCCTGGTGACCATGTCCCAGGCTTCCCTGGTGACCATGTCCCAGGCTTCCCTGGTGTCACAGCCTGTTCACAACAGCTTGATAAACTTTTCTTTTCCTTGACCTAGGACCTCAGAGATAAGTGGGGGAAACTGACATTCACAGCTGTCATTTTAGTATTTGGGAGGCCGATTTGAGAGGACTGGCCGAGTCCAAGGCCAGCCTGGACTACGTAGTAAGTGTCAGGCCACGTGAGCTACAGCAGAACCTGTCTTTAAAACACAAAAGCAGGCTGGGTAAGGCAGCGCACACCTTTGATCCCAGCGAAGGCAGTGGATCTCTGTGAGTCTGAGGCCAGTCTGGTCTACAAAATGAGATCCTACCTCAAAAAAAAAAAAAAAAAAAAACCACCAACAAAAAAATTAACAAAAAAAAAAAAATTAGAAAGAAAGAAAAGAGGAAAATGGGGTACAGAGGGAGCTCGGCAGTGAAGCCCACTCCCCGCTCTTCTGGAGGACCTGGGTTCAGTGTTCAGCACCCACGTCAAGCAGCTCCAACCACCAGTAACTCCAGCGCCAGATGTGGTGCCCTCCTCTGGCCTCTGTGAGCATGTGTGACCTCTGTGAGCGTGTGTGACGTACACAAACACACATAAAATAACAAAGTTACAGACGTCAGAGGGACTGGTGAGATGGCTGAGTTGGTGAAGAGGACTCGCTGGGCAAGCCTGATGACCTGAGTGAGGTCCCCGGGTCCCACAGTGGAGAAGAGGACCGACTCCTGAGTGAGGTCCCCGGGTCCCACAGTGAGGAGAGGACCGACTCCTGAGTGAGGTCCCTGCACACACACAGTACACACTGGCTGGGTGCACACGCCTTGAATTCCACCACTCAGGAGGCAAAGGCAAGAGGATCTTTGTGAGTTTGAGGACAGCCTGGTCTGCACAGAGAGCTCCACGACATAAGAGACCCTGATTATTAAAATAATGGTAATAATAAAAACAATAATTACGGGCTGGAGAGGTGGCTCAGAGGTTAAGGGCACTGGCTGCTTTTCCAGAGGACCTGAGTTCAATTCCCAGCAACCACAGGGTGGCTCACAACCATCTGTAATGAGATCTGGTGCCCTCTTCTGGCCTGCAGGGACACATGCAGGCAGAACACTCACTATATACATAATAAAAAACCAATAATTACATAATGCAGTAACACAGTTTTATAGGAAAATTAGGTGGGGTAGTTAAGTTGGTAGCGTGCTTGTCCACTCTGTATGAGGCCCTACTTTTGATCTGCAGTATCACATAAACCAGGTGTAATACAGGCACACACCTGTAATCCCAGCACCCAGGAGGATCAGAAATTCAAGGTCCTCTCAGCTTCATACCAAGTTCGAGGCCAGTCTGGAACCCAGCTGTCTGTCTCCTCTTACAGGCTGGTACCCCAGGGCATTCCTGAACTCTGGATGTGGGCCCTCCACATCTCAGTTCCGGTCACCAGCAGCCTCCCTTCACACAGGCCACTCCCTCTCCCTCTCAACAGTGCTCAGCCGAGTGCGGGACCGGAATCCAGAGACGCTCAGTGGTCTGCCTCAGGAGTGGGGAGACCCTCCAGGGGGACCGGGAAGCAGAAGCAGGAAGCCCGGAGCAGGGCTGCCCTCTCAGAAGCCGTCCTCCCGACATGCGTGCCTGCAGCTTAGGACCCTGCGAGAGGACATGGCGCTGGTACACCGGGCCCTGGAGTGAGGTCAGCTGCTGAGGGGACAGGAGGGGGCCTGTCCTGGCGAGTCCCAGGTCGGGAACTCAAGAGCGATCTCTCTTCCCCTCCCTTACAGTGTTCCTCAGAGTGTGGGTCTGGCACGCAGCACAGAGACGTCATCTGTGTGTCCAAACTAGGAGCTGAGTTCAATGTGACGTTTCCCAGTAACTGCTCCCACCTCCCCAGGCCCCCCGGGCTGCAGCCCTGTCAAGGGCAGGCCTGTGAAGACCGATGGTTTTCTACTCTCTGGAGTCCGGTGAGTGCTTGGCTCCCTTGCCCTGGGCCTCTAGCTAAGAGGGCTTTTCCCACTGCACTCGGCCAAGGCCCTCTCAGCCCAGGACAGCCCAGCTGGGCTCTCAAGTTGCCCCACTTCCTGTAGACTGGGAAGTCTGGTGGACCCTCTCCATTTGGGATGTTATAATGTCCCTGGATAATAGTCCCTCACTATCTTTTTTTTTTTATAAAGATTTATTTATTTATTATGTATACAGTGTTCTGCCTGCATGCCAGAAGAGGGCACCAGATCTCATTACAGATGGTTGTGAGCCACCATGTGGTTGCTGGGAATTGAACTCGGGTCCTCTGGAAGAGCAGCCAGTGCTCTTAACCTCTGAGCCATCTCTCCAGCCCCCCCCCCACCATCTTTCAGAGAGGGAGGGGTGGTCTGAGGAGCAGCCCTGGGAACTTTAGAGAGCTGATCTGGTGGCTGTGGTCCCCCCAGTGTTCTCGCTCCTGCCAGGGAGGCACGCAGACGAGGGAGGTCCAGTGCCTGAGTGCCAACCAGACTCTCAGCACCCGATGCCCTCCTCACCTGCGACCTTCCAGGAAGCGGTCCTGTAACAGCCAACCCTGCAACCAGAGGCCTGGTAAAGAGCTTCCCTGCCCATGCCCAGGAGAGGGGGTGTAGCCGGAGTCCGGGCAGATGTGAGGAGGGCTGGTGGGGATGGGAACACCCTCCAGAGGGGTGATGTCACTCCTGTCCTGTGCCACTGACCTCTGTCTTCAGATGACCAATGCAAGGACAGCTCTCCACACTGCCCCCTGGTGGTACAGGCCCGGCTCTGCGTCTACCCCTACTACTCGGCGACCTGCTGCCGCTCTTGTGCCCACGTCCTGGCGCGGTCCCAGCTGGAGCCTGCTTGAGATGGGGCCGAGAGATCCTTTCTTCATGGCTTCCTTCAGCCCCCACCGGTCAGCCACTGACCAGCCCACTCCGTATCCTCTGACTTCTCCCCTGGTCTGTGTCGCCGGAGATGTCCTCCGGTGGGGGGAGGATAAGGTGGCTGCCGACCTGCTGTTGGGTGTGTGCTGCAGCGTGACGCCCCGAGGTGTGTGCCCTGTGGCGTCACTTCCTCGGAAGCAGACTGAGGAAGAGTGGCAAGTGGGCAGCGCTTGCTTCCCGGATGCTTTCTGGGCTGAGGAGGAACAAGGCTCCATTTCCAGATTAGTCTGAGCTACTTAGACTGTGCCCCCCGGAAGTTCCAGTTTTGTGTCCCAATCCTCCTTTCCGGGCCAGGCCTCACCGCTGCGCTGCCCTGCGTTCCTACCCCTCCCTTATCTAGCCTCTGTATCCCTACCTCCCCATGAGCTAGGGGACCCCTGCTACCTTACCTTGCCCAGGAAGGACCACACCTCTCCAGAGCAGGGACCAGTTGTGCCGATGATGAAAGAGTGAGCCGTCAGCCTGAGACACCCTGGCCCCCACCCCCACGTCACCGAAAGTGATGGCCATCCCAGAACTAATTTATTTTTTATTAAAGTTGATTGTGACAAATAACACTCTTCATTAACCTCATGAGGACCCCGCCATCTAAGCAGTGTGGGGCCAGATACGGTGTGGGGAGGGCACAGCCCTCGGGTGGGAGGGCAGTCCCCAAGGGCTGGGGAGTAGCCTGTTGGGCCCCAGAACTGCAGATGGCTCCCTGGCCACTAGAGGCCACCCCCTCTCCCGGTTTAGGGGCGGAGGTGGGTGCTTGGATCCGCGCAGAGAGAGCCTGGGGTGGGCTTTGGGGCGGGCTCTGCTGTGGTCTCCGGGAGCCCGGCAGGACGTTTCAGCCAGGCCCTCCCGCCGCGGCCCCAGCTTCTCTTTCACCCACTTCCCGGTTAAAGGCTGCCTTGGCCCCTCCCCTGGCTCAGCAGAATCAGAGGAGCCCGGCCTGGTTCTCCGGGGCTGCAGGAGGGAGGAGGGGCCAAGGCAGTAACGGATGTCCTGCCAGAGACACATTCCTCAGAGATGTCTCACCAGGCCTCCTCCCTCCCCGCTCCCTGTGTTTCTTTCAAAGTAAATAACTTGCTAAAGGTGATGTGAAGGGGCAGCTTTATTCACCAGTGCCAACTGTTCCCCGACCCCCTGCAGTCCTGAGGGCTGTGGTCCCGCTTCCGGAGGAAGCTCTGACCCGTCCCTGCCTCTCCAGCAAGCTGAGTTTGGCCACCAGCAAAGGCCCGCAGACAGTTTCCCCGGGTGACCACTGTTTTCCGAGCATGTCTAGGCTCCCTAGAAGTGGGACCTTCTGCTGTAGCAGAGCCTTTAGCGCACTGCCTCGGAGCTCAGGCTGTCCTTGGGTTGGATGTGGCTGAGCAGAAACAAGACAGCAGAGTGGGAGGGGCGTGGGTGGGGAAGGAAATGAAGCCATGGGGCGACTCCCCCTCCCCCGTACTCCTGCTGAGGCAGGAGGACCACAAGGCCAGCCTGGGCTATACTGTGAGACTCTGTCTCAAAAAACACCAGGAAAACAAAACTGACTTTGGTCCATGGCAGGGCTTAGGCAAGGAGGCTACAAGAATGCCCTGCCTCTGCCAGGCGATGGTGGCGCACAGCTTTAATTCCAACACTTGGGAGGCAGAGGCAGGAGGATCTCTGTGAGTTCAAAGTCAGCCTGGTCTATAGAGCGAGTTCCAGGACAGCCAGGGCTACACAAGGAAACCCTGTCTCGAAACCACCACCACCACCACCCCAAAAAAAGGAAAGAAAAAAGAATGCCCTGCCTCCGAAGAGCTGTGTGATGTGTTTCTTTCTCTGGTGAGCCTGGAAGGCAAGGATGCAGGGCCCAGGGAGACAGACACAGGCAGAGGGCAGAGTCCCAGGGCAAGGGAGGGTGGCTTCGGTCTCAGGCCCTCCCTTCAGTTCCTGGAAGCCGGGCTGGGGTGGAGGCCACAGCTCAGCTGACTTCCCCTCCCTTTTCAAGCCTCTTAGGGCTGTTGCTGGGCAGGTTCAGAGTCTGGTCTAGGCCTGAGAGCCAATCACAGGTGGAGAATGCAGCCACAGCCCTCTAGGGTTCCCCCAACATCACGAAGACCGCCTTTCTTTTTCTGAGAGCCCCCGAGCTTCCAGCCTTCAGCCTCTTACCCTGGGGAGGAGGGGAGGTCCTGCCTTCTTCCTCATTATAAACGAAGGCTTGTCCTCTGGTCACCGAGAGCAGTAGACATCCCTAGGCAAGGAAACCTGACTTACAGCAACCTTTCCCCTGGCGCCCTAGAAGGAGCAGTGTGGCCAGACACTGCTTTGCTGACCTCTGGGGTCTGAGTAAGGAAGTTAAGACCCAAAGGGCAGCTCGGCGTGGTGAAGCCCCTGGTTTTGATGCAGGAGGGGGAATTTAGGGAAGGACCTAAGAGGAACTGGACCTGCGACTTGATGGGGGTGGTGGTGACAGGAGCAAAGGACATGCAGAGAGCTCAAGCATGCAGAAGCCAGCACAAGACCACAGGATCCTCGGCGTGCCTGCGGGGGAGGAGCTGGTTCTAGTCTCCAGAGAACTCAGCTCTCAGCTCAGCTGTGCTGGGGGAGCAGCTGGTGAGAGTTTACTCTGCATGCATGAAGCCCTGGGTCATGCATTATTTTTTAAAAGCTCCAGCAGGTAGGGATTCCCCTCCCCCTGACTTCAACTTCCTGGGGTAAATACCTACTCCATTGTAGCAGCAGCCCTACTAAATTTAGCGACCAGACTCCCTCCCCCACCCTGTAAGCAGGTGTGCACAGCTGCAAAGGTGGCCCTGATGAGTTCCACCACTCCCTCCACACGTCCACTCATGCAGACTCCACTCTGGTCAGGAGGGAACAGAGCACAAACTAAAATACCAGCTGCTGCCCGGTGCCCGGGTGTCGGTCACAAGCTACTCTTTCAAGAAACCAGTCCTGAGGCTAGAGCTGAGGACCAAGTGGTCATTAAGGATCAGGATGTGGGGTGGAGGAGGAGACAGGAGCCGCAGCCTTCTGGATTTTCTCTTGCCTGACCCCTCTGTAGCTCTGGCTGGCCTCAAGTTTGTGGCGATCTTCCTTGCCCGTGGCTCTGAGGTGCTGGGCATGTGCCACCATCCCAAACTCAACGTTTTACAGACTTTGCTTCCCCTCTCTAACCAGTGAACTGAATCAGGGGTGCTTCTCTTGAAGCCAAGGAGCCCCCTGTTAGTGACCTGTGGTCTGTGGAGATCTGAGTGGAAATAGGAGTGTCCTTTCCACCCAACCCCCTTCAAACGCACCATCGCTGGGTTCTTGTTGCAGGCAGGTGAAGAGGTGGAAAGCACCTTCTCTGGACAGGAAGTAGAAAGTCTCAGGAAAGGACCGAAGTCTGACAAGAGACAAACAGTTTGGGCTAACCTCGGCATAATCAGCGCCAGTCACCAGTCTGAGCTTGGGCTCTTACACCTGGAGCTGGGGGACGCCTCACAGGCAGGTGTTTCGGGCTGAGGCTGGAAGGTGGGTGGGACCGGAGGTACAGCATGATGGCAGAGGACAGAGAGCTGGGGTGCTGCCCAGCGCTGCCCCAACACTTGAAGCTGAGGATTATCAAGAGTTCTAGGCCACCCTGTGCTACAGTGAGACCCTCCTCCCCTTCACTCCACTCCCACACAAGTGAAACCGACCGTGGCCTTCATTCCCTGGGTGAGAACCAAAACCTGTTGGTTCAGCTGTGGAGGACCCACCCAGTACCACCCCACCCGCCCGTTTAGTTTGTGTGTGGAAGGAGCATGCAGAGCATTCAAGTGCCACTGCTGAAGCCGGGGGACAACTGTCAGGTTGTTCTCTTCCCGCCGCGTGGACCAGGGCCACAAACTCAGTCGTCACACTTGGCGGCATAGCCGTCTGCTGGCTCCACATTAGGTTATTCCAGGCCTTGCCTGAGTCCTTCCTGATGCGAGGGGAAAGGTGCATGAGGTCCCGATCAAGGGAGGTGCTGGTGTGGAGTCCATCTGCCCCTGAATTAGTTACCTTTGCTCTTACATCTGCCTGCCCTGCCCTCCCTAGGACTGACCACTGGCTGTTCAGGTCTTTTTTGTTTTTATTGTATGTGCATTGGTGTTTTGTCTGCATGTAAGTCTATGTGAGGGTGTCGGATCCCCTGGAATAGGAGTTACAGACAGTTGTGAGCTGCCGTGTGGGTGCTGGGAATTGAACTCTGGAAGAGCAGCTAATGCTCTTAACCCCTGAGCCATTTCTCTCAGCCCGTTATTTTTTATTTTTTTGGTTTTTCAAGACAGGGTTTCTCTGTGTAGACTTGGCTGTCCTTAAACTCATAGAGATGCCCCTGCCTCTGCCTCCCAAGTGCTGGGATTAAAGGTCTGTCCCAGTTGTTTTGAGACAGGGTTTCTTGTAGCTGAGGCAGCACTTACCTCCAGATCTCCAGCTCCTCCTGCCTCCACTTCCCCAGTCAGTGCTGGGATTACAGACATGTGTCACCATGCTTAGCCTTTCTCACAAAATGAGACTTGCTTTTAGTGCAGTCCAGGGCTGAGCAAGCTTTTCTCTATCCAACTAGATGGTCAGTGTTGGCTTTTGCAGGCTGAGTCGTCTCTGCTGCAACCATGCACCTCTGCATGCTGCAATACAAACGTGACGGACAGTAACACACAAGCAACAAACGAGCTGTGTACCCATTAAAGTTAGGACACTGGAACTTCCGACTTCGTCATATTTCAACACCTCACAAAATACTTCAGACTTTTATTAACCATTGAAAAACACACGCCAGGCTATCACGTTGGCTGGGTAGGTCACAGCACTTGCCACCCAGACTGATGCCACGATGGATTCCTGGGGCCAACATCTACAGGTTATCTTTTGACCTCCACACCTGCACCTCTCCCTGCCTCCTCTTCAGTGAGTGAAGGTGCTTGTTGCCAGGCATGACCCTGGAGTTTAATTCCCAGAGTATGAGAGAACTGACTTCTGACCGCCACCTGTGTAAGGTGGTACATAGGTGTTTCCATGATACACACAGAATAGACGTAATAATTGTTTAATGTAATGAGGTTTAAAAATGCAAGCCAGGTGATGGTGGTGCATGCTTGTAGTCTCAGGATTTGGGAGATAAGGGCAGGCTAAAGATCAGATATTCAAGGTTGTTATTATTATCGCAAGCAATAAGAATTATGGAATCCAGCCACATAATGGTGGCGCACGCCTTTAATCCTAGCACTCAGGAGGCAGAGGCAGGTGGACCTCTGTGAGTTAGAGGCCAGCCTCCTCGTCTACAAAGGGAGTTCAGGACAGCCAGAGCTGAACCTTATCTTGAAAAACAAACAAAAAAATATGGAATCCAATTTTTTTCCCTACAAATTCACTGCTGTGAGTTACCTTAGTATGCTGTTTTTAAAAGCAGTAGAATGGTATTTCTTCTGAAAATAACCTTTATCTGGGACTGTTCGTCAAATTCTTATGCTACAAGTTTTTATTTCACTGGGCATTGATGAATTCCTCTAATTCTCTTAACCAGTTTCTTTCTTTTTTCAAATTTGTCATGTGTGTACAACTGCAACTGCAGAGGCCAGAGGAGCATTGCATCCCCTGAAGCTGGACCTACAGGCAATTGTGAGCCACTCTGCATTGCGGCGAACTGAGCAGCTAACACTCTTAACTGATACCTCTCCAGCTCCAAAACCCCAACCCTTTTCTTTTTTAAGACAGGGTCTCACTATGTAGACCAGGCTGGCCTCCTAGAGTTCCACCTGCCTCTGCCTCCCCAGTGCTGAGAATTAAATGTGTGTGCCACCACTCCTGGCTTAATTAATTCTTATGCAGGTTTTCACCGCCATACCTGACTTCACTGCTATGTTCTTCATAGTTCACGAAACAGAAAGGGAGACATCCATTCTACCTCAGACCAGACTTTAACCACCAAAGTGAGATTGGGGGAGGGGCACAAGGGCTCCCTGCACCCAGCATCACCCAGGAGCTCCGCTGAGCGGCTGTTCCTGCAGCTGATGATGGGTCAGGGCTGGGGTGCACCTTGGTGGGAGAGTTTGTGTTTAGTATGTCCAAGGGCCCCAAGTGGGTCTCCAGCAAGCACACACACAGTTAAAAACAAGCCCTATCATCTACACACACACACACACACACACACACACACACACACACACACACA